CCCCTCAGCACAAGACTCACTAGACACCAAAGCCAAAGCTTCACCTTCCTGTCTCAGATGGCACTGGAGCAAGTCAAAGAACTCCAACAGGAGCTAAATCCTGCAGGAATAGGCAGCACTGCAGCTCTTGTAGCTCCTCTGTTGTGCCCTTACAGCTAAAATTAGGCTGTGGAGAAAGATTGGGTTCTACTTCCAAGAATTCTTCCCTAACCAGAACCAGCTTTTACCTCCACAGTGAGTTCTACTCGCTCCAAGTGGGATGTGATGGCCACAGATGCTGATCTAGGGCAAAGCCTTTGCAGGAACACCCTGAAGAGCTGCATGAAGCTGTCACTGCATTTTACCTCTTCATCTAGCAGGTTCTGACCCCTCACCTGACAAGCTCTGCCTCAGCTCCAGTATGTCCCACCTTAACCACCACTCAACAGCCATAGCAGATCCAAAGCTGTTCAGCCTCAACAGCCACTGCCAATTCCTGTTTAATTAAATTCCAATCAAACCATAAAAATCCCTGTTTAGGCAGGACATGCTCTCCCTCATAAAACTCCCTGAATAGCTTCTAAGCAACATGACTGCAATTCTAACAGGGTTGGGACTCATCTGCCAAGTGTGAGATCCTTTGGGGCTGTTTGTAGTATCACACTCTTGGTTTTTAGGACAAAATAAACCATCCATCCCCATGAGCTCAGAGGCCAGAAGGTCTCTCTTTTCTGTTTCTATTCTTACAGACACAGACTCTACTTCTTATGGATATTTCTTCCACAGAACTAAGGAACAAACCAGAACAAAATTGTTATGGACACCCAAAACTCAAACATCAAGTTTTAAACCACCTAACAACTTTCCTTCAGCACTGCTGTAGTTGATTTTCAGAGCTGACAATACCAAGAGAGCCTCTTGATGCAACACTGAGATGTATTGTAAACAAATATGCTTTCAAAATGGAAGAGGTTAAATGGTAGAGTAAAACAGGAATACATACAAAAAATGCTATAAAACAGTAGCAAAAGGTAACTAAAAGGATAAATGAATAAATGATGGGAGCCAACAGTGTCAGAACTGCAGGTTCTGACTTCAGCACGGGGGAAAATGCTACAGAAGTGGACCAGAACTCTGTGCCTGTGCTCACCTGAGAAACCACATCCCTGTGTTGGGTCACCTCTGCCACCTGCACCTGCAGAGTCCTCACGTCAAACCACACAGGGATCTGAGAGCAATGCACTCACTGCGTGGTGGGAAGCTGTGGAAAGGGAGATTTGCACCTAAGCAGCCTTCACTGACCTTCAACGAACACTACAAAGCCAAGAGGAATCTTGGGATCTTCTCGGGTTCTATTTGTGAGACATCTGAGCTTTGAAAAATACATCAGAGGGAGAAATTAACCCACCCCAACCACTGAAGAGCCAAAACCTTTCTATCCTCACACCTCCCCCCATTACAACAAGGATTACATGGATACTGAAGTCTTGGGATGCTCCAAGTGAAAACAAAGAATCCTCAGCTCAAGGAATTTGATCACTTCCTGACCTATTGCAAAGCACAGCTTGGATGTGCCAAAGACAGTGCATAGGAGTTACACTCAGCCATCAGTGCTGAAGCTAAGTTCTCAAACAAGGCTCTAGACTGAAGCTGCTGCTAAAAACTAAACCCCTCTCCTCCATCCCCTTCCTTGC